GTATGGACTGGAATATGGGAGGGGCTAAGATTAAGTCGGGCGTGTCCCTCTACAGGAGGAGTATTCAAAAATAGTCAAAAAAAGCATAGTCTCGGGACCATGTCTTTAATTTATGGTTTGACTATTGTTCTTAGTCTTTTCGATTCTTTGTTATTTTTCGTCCGAAATCCCCCTGTAGGAGGACATGCCCGACCTAAAGCTAAGAGTATGGTAGCGATGCGGCTTTGTCAAGGGAGGAAAAACCACCCGGACCAGGCGTTTATTGAACGGCCCAGGCGTTTACAAAACAGCGCCGCCCTGTTCGATTCCTTCTGTTGGCGCCTTTACTAAAAGGATTCGCTTGTCGGGGTGATTATTCTGGGGGGAGATTTTCTGCTTTCTATTTTCACATCCACTGAGTCCAATCCTTGGTAAAACACACGGTGCCCGCACAGACTTAACGGTCCCGCGCGGCCTCCCTGTTGATGAAGATAGTGGTATCGTTGGGGCTTGTGGAGGGCGTATGGTAATTGTTGCATGGGCTGTCGCCGCTTCTGGCTTCCAGAGAGTCCACGCAGGTAGCAGACGTCACTCGCTCGGCATGAGCATGACGCATGCGGTCCCGCACGGTCCCAGGAGACGGAGGGCTTTTGATATTTGGGGGTCACGTGGAGCGCAACGGGCCAGAAGCGGTTGTCGTGGTGATCGCCAAATTTTGGCTGCTGCCGCAGCCGACCTCACCGCCTCTGTGCCTGCAAAGGCTGCCCTCGGTAACAAGCTTTGAGTGGTGGCGTTCTTGAACACTCCATGCGGAGCGCACGAGGGCAAAGCGCCAGAAGCGTCATTCTCATTCGGCTCTTCCGTAATTCACTGGGCCGATGAGGGCAGGATTGGGCTGTGCCTTATTGGGTTGGGTTGGCCTGGTTGGTCTGGTTGGCAGTCTGGACTTTAGCTGGTTGGCAGTTGGGCTGGTCTGGTTGGTCTGGCTGGTCTGGTCTGGTTGACACAGCTGGACTATTCTGGGTTGGCCTGGTTTGCAGTGGTCTGGGGAACGGTCTGGATTCGTCTATGCTGGTTTGTGCGCGGCGTGGGTTGACTTGCGTAGTCCAGAACCGATTGGTCGACCCGGCCAGGGCGGATTGGACTGGACCGGACCCGTGTGGATTGGATCGGGTTCAGCTGTGCTGAATTGGGCTGCGTTGGACTGGACGAGGCTTCGCTGATTGGACCGAGAGTAGGAAGGACTCGGCTGCGTTGAGCTGGCTATGGCAAAACAACTCACGATGGCCCCCCATGCAGTCCGACCGTATGAGATGGTGTCTCGTACGCGTCTACGAGTTATGATGGCTTTGCGCCGTCTCCTATGGTTTCTTATATTGGCGCCTTTTGCAATCCCGTCGCTGTGCCATTGTAACATCGACAAGCTTTCAGTATATTTTGCTGAGCTCACCCGAAACCCCTCGGCCATGGATTTCCTTGTGCATGTGAATGTGAGTTTGGGTTATTTGTCGTATAAGATGACATGTGCGTCGTCAGCTTTCGCTTGTGTGGGTTGCCACTTCCGCTGCGTGGCCTGCGTGTAGTTTTTCCCTGGCTCGCCTCTCTTTTCCTCCGCGTCTGTCGCGGGGCTCTTTGGGGGGGGGCTCTTGGGAAGGCATAAGGGCGCGGCCTTTGGGAGTTTGTTCGAGGCTCCAGTGTGGTTGGTGGTGCCCTCTGCGGGCCTTTCTGGGGCCTGTTTGGTGTCTCGGGGGCCACCTTATGAGGGGGGGGGTCTCCCAGGGTCCTAGCGGGTTGCCCCTCTTTGCGCCTGTCTTGGACCTCTGACTGTAGCGTTCTTGGATGTTTTTTGTGTACGGTCGAGGGGCCTTTCTGGACAGTCTTGGGGCCCTCTTCGGCCGTCCCCGAATATTATTTGGGGGGCTACTCGGCCGTTTGGGGCCATTGTGGGGGGGCCTCTTACACAGATTTGGGCTTCCAGATGCCCGAAACGAAAATCATTCAAAGCCCATTGGAAAGCACTGATTTGTGCCTCTCGAGGCATCTTTGGAATCCTCTTGGGGTTCGTTCTCAGCGTCTCGGGGATAGCATGAGTGTTCTCGAGGTCTCTCCAGCGTGTTGGAGCCCTTCTGGAGCCATCTCAGACAGCATCTTGGGCAGCCTGGCGCCCGCAGAGGGTTGATTTGCAGGCAACGAGCCCCCACGATGTGCGTTCGCGAGTTCGTGCCCCTCCGGCCCTCGCGAAGGAAAGGGGGAGGGGTGACAGCCAATCGTCTCATGCGCCATTTCACCCCTTGCAAGCGGGGTCGGCGGACTTAGAGCCAATGCCGTTAGTTTTGAGCAGATCGGCTGTAGTCAATGGTACGGTTCATCCTCCTCCTCCTCCTCCTCCTCCTCCTCCTCCTCATCATCATCATCACCATCAGCATCATCAGCATCATCATCATCAGCATCATCATCATCATGATCATCATCATCATCATGATCATCATCATACTTACCGTCATCATCAGCACCATGATCGTAACCATCATTATCACCACCATCATCATCATTATCATCATGACACTGAATGTGTGTGTGTGTGTGTGTTTAGGTTGATTCTCCGACATCGCTCCCATTGCACATTGAGCTTGCTGTTCAGGTGCCTAGTTCATTCTAATATCGAATGTGTGCCTGTGCGTCCGTGTCTACATGGGGGCGCCTACTTCATTCCCACCCACCGCACCTTGAGCTTGCCGTTTTGGTGTCCTGTTCATTCTAATGACGAGGCTATGTGTGTGTTTACGTGATGGCGCCTACTTCAATCCTATTGCACATTGAGCTTGCTGTTTTGGTGTCCTGTTCATTCTAATGACGAGCCTATGTGTGTGTGTGTTACGTGATGGCGCCTACTTCAATCCCGTTGCATATTGAGCTTGCTGTTTTGCTGTCCTGTGTGGCTCTGTAGCTTCTGCTGCACTTCCAAAGCCGCGGTCTGCAGCCGATGGCTGGGGTCGGGCCAGCGGTTCACCTTTTCGGGGCGCGCCTCTACGAGCCCAGCGCCGGCAGTGCATGATCCACGGTCCCAGGCACCGACCGCGATGTGTGCCGCAGGTCTCTCGCGGAGAAGAGGGGAGCCGTTGGGAAGTGCCGCCGCAGCTCAGGAGGGGAAAAACACACACAGACACAAGTAATCGTGGATACCCCAGAAGAACATGGCAAAATCTGGGACGTGTGGGGGGGAAGACAAACGCCCAGAACATCTGGAAGGATATGGGGGATCCTGGGACTTGTGTGCATTGATCTGTGTGTCCCCTGGGCCCCTTGAAGAACACGCGTGCTCTCCACTCGTAGTCTCGTTCTCTATCTCCCTCTCGTGCTCTGTGGAGCGGCGCCCTCCGGCGCCGCTTCGGCGCCGCTCTCATGGCAGAGGTGGTCCAGGAGAACCAGGAGGCGGCACCGGGCGGCTTCGTGGGCGGAGAGGCCGCGCGAGACGCGGCGTGCGTAGAGGGAGGCAGGGAAGCCAAAGGTTAAGTCTTGTGGAAGTCGAGTAATGGAGAGGAAGCATGCTGCCAAATAATTGCCAGATGTCTAGAAAAAGTTTCAAATATGCGTGAAACATGTTTAGAACATGCTTTACACTGTTCAAAAACATGTTTGATTCAATGATAGGATTGTTCGATTGTCTATGGTCATGGCATCCACAAGTTAAGTCGGACGTGTCCCTGCACAGGAGGAATATCAAAAAATAGCCCCAAAATAGTCTGGGGACGATTTTTTCCCCATTTTTGAATATTGTTGTCGGAATCGTTTTTGGACAGTTTATTTGTCGTCCAAAATCCCCCTGTAGGGGGACAGCCCGACCTAACCCAAGAGATGGGGGAGGGCGAGAGTCGGTGGCGAGGTCCGAACCCGACCCTTGACCGTCCACGGTTCAGGGGCACTTCGATGGGCGGCGGGGGTGGGGTTCGGAGTTCGCCGAGCGCGCGGCGAAATCCGAACCCTGCCCCCGCCCCCCGTCGACTCAAAGAGGAATCGGTTGCTGGTGGGGGTAGGGTTCAAATGTTGCCTCGTCGTCGTCGTCGTCGTAGTCGTCGTCGTCGTAGTCGACGTCGTCGTCGTCGCCGTCGCCGTCGCCGTCGCCGTCGTCGTCGTCGTCGCCGTCGCCGTCGCCGTCGCCGTCGCCGTCGCCGTCGCCACTTAAATAGGAGCAGGGAGCGGATGGAGAGGCCTGGGATGCTCGTGCTTTGCGCTTGCATGCTGTTGAGGCTCGTGGATTGGTCGGCCCCGTCTCCGGCCCTTCTTCCCAGGGCTCGTCGTAACCAGCTGGCGCATCGCCGATGCATCGGCGATGCATCGCCGATGTATTGGCGATGCGGCGCGATCCTCCGACCCCATTTCTTCGGACCCCATCTAGGAGGCGTCTGACCGCCAGCTCAGGTTCGAACATCTGGAGTCAAGAGATCGCTTCACTGGCCGTGATCTGCTGACAACCTGGCCCATACAAGCACCTCCCGATTACGCGGCGATGAGGTCAGTCATTGGTTTGAGCACTCCTACGGGTCACGGTCAAAGCAAGTGGACCACTTAAGCTACCGAGGAATGTGACAACAGAACGCCAACGTCAGCGAGCCTCAGTGCCCCACGCAGACGCCCACACGTCTTCCTGTCGAGGAGAGCTGGGGTAGGTTCCATCCCTTCCCTTCCCCCTCACTCCTCCGCTCCTAGCATCGGCGATGCAGGGAGGTTCGCGGATGCCTGCACTGTGCGTGTCGGAATGTGGGCTGCTTCCCAACTGATGGGCAGGGGATTCCTCCCTGCTGCAGCCGGGGTGCGTTCCGGCGCCGCTTGCGGGCCGGATCCAGCCGTGGCGGCGAGGGCCTCCCAGCAGGCCAGCGGCAGCGGTATCTGTTCCTCCTCCTCCGCTGCGTCTCCGCGCGCTCGGCCAGGCCCCCCCCCCCTCGCCCTGCGCTCTGGCGCTCCGCGCCGCAGGGGTGGCAGGCGACCGCCGACGGCAACGACTGGCTGCCCCCGGGGGACTGGCCGCGCGCCCAGCGGCGAGCGGGGCCGGCGCGCCCAGGAGGCCCCGGCCACAATCCCCGCGGAGGCCGATGCCCAGACGTGCACTCTGGGCCTCCCAGCTGGGGTCGGAGGCGCCCGCCAGTCCGCCAAGGCGTCGGCGATGCGGCTCGACGTGGAGCCCGAGTTGCTCCACGCCGACGGCGCCGAGGCATCGCCAGCGTCGCCGATGCATCGCCGACGCATCGGCGATGCATCGGTGAGGCAGGTGCGATCCTCCGAGCCACTCTGGGAGGCTTCGCGTCGTGGAGGAATAGCACGACGAGGGGCCTCTGGCCGTTTTCGGCTCCCAGGGCCCTCCTCCCTCCTCCCTCCTCCCTTCTCCCTCCTCCTCCTCCTCCTCCTCCTCCTCCTCCTCCTCCTCCTCCTCCTCCTCCTCCTCTTGCCGGGCCCCACCGGACCGCTCAAATATTGGCTGGGACGAAGGGATGGTCCTGGGGAAGGGATCGGGGCTTCCCGGGGGCGCGCATTGAAGAAAGCCAAGACAGCGGACGTACAGGTCGAAAGGGGAGGAGGAGGAGGAGGAGGAGGAGGAGGAGGAGGAGGGAGGAGGGGAAGAGGAGGAGGCGGAGGAGGAGGAGGAGAGGAGGAGGCGAGAGGAGGAGGGAGGGAGGGAGGAGGGAGGAGAGGAGGAGGGGAGGAGGAGGAGGAGGGAGGAGGGAGGAGGAGGAGGGGGAGGAGGAGGAGGAGGAGGAGGAGGAGGAAAAGGAGGAGGAGGAGGAGGAGGAGGGAGGAGGGAGGAGGAGGAGGAGGAGGAGGAGGAGGAGGAGGAGGCGGAGGAGAGGAGGAGGAGGAGGAGGAGAGGAGGAAGGAGGAGGAGGAGGAGGAGGGAGGAGGCGGAGAAGGAGGAGGAGGAGGAGGAGGAGCCCGAGCTGGCGGGGCGGAGCGGCGGGCTCCCACCGCGGGGAGGGTGGCGCGGCCCAGGAGCGAGGGCGTCGAGGTTCGGGGCCCAGAGGCGAGGCCCGAGGGATCGAGGCTTCCTCCAGGCTCGAGGCTCGAGGCTCGAGGCTCCAAGATCGAGGGCCCAAGATCGAGGACTGGTCCAGTGGGAGGGGCCAACTGTACCAAACCAAGGTCTCTGAGCTGCCTCGATACGCCCGTTCTGCAACGCAGCACGCGCCGTGTTCAAGTCGTCCGTGTCAATACGTTGCGTATTGGCTCAACGTGTTGGTGCACGTTTTGGCAGATGCTTCGCGCCAAACCTACGTTTCAGTCTACGTGTCGAGCTCCGTGTTAACACGCTACGTGTTGCGTGTTGCGTATCGGGGCAGCTAAGCAGCTAGGCAAGGTATGAGAGCGCTGCTCAGACTTGGTCGGGGAGGTGCTCCCATCGAGCGGGATCCCAGACCAGGCCCAGATCCCTAATCTTAGGTCGGACATGTCCCTTTACAGGAGGAAGATTCAAGAATAGTCCAAAACAAGTCTGGAGACGATTTGTTTGTCATTCTTGATTATTTTTGAATGTGTTTTATTTATTTGCCCCGCCGGGGGACCATCTGGGGACCAATGCCGGCTTTTCTTCGCCGTGCCGCCCGTCGCCGTCCGTCGCTGCTCGTCGCCGTCCGTCGCCGCCTTGCTTTGCATTGCTTTGCTTTGATTTGCGTTGCTTTGATTTGCTTTGCTTTTGCTTTATTTCTTCATAGATTACCCTTCTCTAACAAGAAAGTCGAATCTACCCCCCCCCCGGATTCATCGGTCCCCCTTTTTTCGTAGTGCAGTTTGCAAATGTTTCCGCCCCACCAGCCATCCCAAAGATGATCTGGTACCATCCCAGCCAGGCCGGTATCGACCTTTCCCGCCATCTCCTGCAACAAGTACTCTGCGCGCGCATTCGTTGATCGACAATCGAAGTGTGTTCAAGAGTTCGTGGCACAAAATGGGACGAAATGCGCACGCGCGTGTCGTCGCGCGCGCATGCCGAAATCATTCAAAACATTCGGCTTCAGGATTTCAAAACCGAGTTTCCAAACATTGTTCCTTTAAAATAAAAACTTGGGTTTCGCAACGCGGGGTTTCGAAAAAGCTGGCGCGTGCGCTCCTACGAGTTCGCCGGAGAACCATCGGTTTTTCAACATTGATTTACGGGCCTCGCGCGCGCATGTCGAAATCGTTCGAACGCCCTTGCGTTTGCGTGCTGTCGCAAGAATCCTATGCAAACTACGGGACGAAGTGCACGCGCGCACGCCGTCGCGCGCGCATGCCGAAATCAGCGAAAACCTTCGATCTCATAAGGAGGTCAAAACCGAGTGTCCCGACACAATGCAAAAACACGGTTTCGCAGCGTCGGTTTTCAAAACAGCTTGCGCGCGCGCTCGTGCGAATTCTGAAGAAAACCATGAGGTTATATCTATATATATAGAGAGAGAGATCTTTCCATTGAATTCTGCAAAGCGGTTCTCTCGCGCCGCATGCCGAAAGAATTCGAACGCCCTTGCGCGCGTGCTGGGGGGGAGGGGGGGGGCGCGATCCGCGTCGAATGATACCATGCGGGCCACTCGCGCGTCGGCCGCGCGCTCGCATCGAACCCCTTTCAAATCCTTCATCGCCGACGCGAGGGCGCCGTTATCCTTGTCGGCATGATCAGCGTTGGCGCCGTCACCGGCCGCGCCGTCGCCACTGTCATTATCGTCGCCAGCGCCGCCATGATCATTATCTTGTCTACCGTCTTCGGCGTTGCCATGATGCCACGCCCGCCCAAGTCGCCGACTCGCACTGAAGTTCCCGCTGGGGTCCGCTCAGCGGTCAGCGCCACCACGGCCGCGTCGTTCGCGCCAAACTAGCTTGCCGCTGCGCGCGCGAGCATGCGCAGGCTTGCGCGGCCGCAGAGATGCACCAGCCAGCACCAACCCCTTCTCGCATTCGCCGCCGCATTGGTTTTGCAAGCCAAGTTGCGGGCTGGCGGGCGCGATGTTTGCGCGAGCAGTGGAGCTGGCAACTCACCGCGAACCGAAATTTACATTCTCAGTTCTACAAAGGAAAATATTTCGAACCCCCCTCCCCCGGGGTTGCTGGCATCCCTTTGCGCATTGCATCTCGCATATCGTGCTGACCCATCGCCCACCTTACATACAATCTCAGACCATCCCGTTCCAACCAGTGTCGACCCCTCCCACCACCTTTGCAAAAAGTACGATGCGCGCGCATTCGTTAATCAAACATCTTCGGTTCCCAAGAATCCCGAGTCAAAAAAACGGACGAAGTGCACGCGCGCGCGTCGTCGCGCGCGCATGCGCCTTTCATTCAGAGACTTTCGGTTTCGAACGGATTTCGAAATTGGGCGTCGGAAGAAAACGAAGCAAAAAACACATCAAACCATCTGGATTCTTCTTTTTTCTAAATAAAAAACGAGCGCGTGCGGTCTTCCGAATTCTGGAGAAAACTGGCTAGGTTTTCAGCATTGTCAGAAACTACCACCAAACGGCCTTCGCGCTCGCGCGCGTCGAAGTCGTTCGAACGCCCTTGCGCGCGTGCCGTCGCGATAACCTTGTGCAAAATGTCAGGCGAAGTGCACGCGCGCGCGTTGTCGCGCGCGCGTGCCGAAATCTTTCACAAACGCCCTAGGCTGCGCGACGATTTCAAAACCGGATGCCCAAACACACTTTCAACGCGCACACACGCAAACACACACACACGCACACACACACACACACACACACACACACACACACGCACACACACACACGGTTTTACAACAGTTCTTCTTAGAAGCGTGCGCGCGCGTTCTTGCGAATTCTTGAGACGGCCATCCTGGGTTCGACGTTTTCGTGGAATTCTGCCGAGCGGGCCTCTCGCGCCGCGCGCCGACATCATTCGCGCGCCCTTGCGCGCGCGGCGCGTGGGAAGGGGGGGGGGCCCGCGTCAAATGGCGCCGCGCGGGCCACTCTCGCGCGCCGGCCGCGCGCGCATGCCGAGTTCTTTCCCAAACCTGCATCGCCGACGCGAGGGCGCCGTCATCGTCTTCGGCGCGATCAGCATCCGCGCCGTCACTGGCCGCGGCCGTTGCTGTCAGCATCGCCGCCAGCATCGCTGCGATCATCGCCGCGTCTACTGTCGTCGACGCTGCCGTGCTACCGCGCCCGCCAAAGTCGCCGACTCGCACGGAAGTGCCCGCTGGGACGTGTCCAGCGGTCAGCGCCACCGCGGCTGCGTCGGTCGCGCCAAGGCGCATGCGCGCGCGCATGCGCGGGCTGTGGCGGCAGCGGAGATGCACCAGCCAGCGCCGAGCACTCATCGTAATCGCCGTCTCATGGAGCATGCAGTTGCGGGTGGGTGGGATTCTTGCGCGAGCAGTGGCGCGGGCAATTTCAAGTTGAGCATGGATTAAGCCTTTGTTTTTTATCAAAAAAATGACCCCCCTGGGTTTATCGACATTTTGTTGTATTGCAATTTAGACGCGATCTTGCCCCATCGTCCATCTGCACATTGAACGCGCGCCATCCCAGCCAGGTCGGCATCGCCCCCCCCCCGTCATCCGATGTCACAAAATTATGCGCGCACAATCGGTGACCAGACACCACAATTTTCGAATAATCTTGTTATCAAGCGACGTGCACGCGCGCGCGTCGTCGCGCGCGCATGAGCCAACCCATGCAAAATCTTGGGTTTCGCACGGATGTCATAATCGAGCGCCAAAACAACATATAACACGCAGGGTTTCGCAACGCGGATTTTCAGACCAAAAAAAAAACTCGCGCGCGCGCCCTTGCGAATTCGGAAGAAACCATCGGTTTCTAATCATTTCCAGAAGTTGTACCAGACGGGCTTCGCGCGCGCGCGTCGAAATCGTTCGAGCGCCCTCGCGCGCGTGCTGTCGCGAGAATCCTTTCTGCACAAAATAAGACGAAGTGCACGCGCGCGCGCGTTGTCGCGCGCGCGCGCGCCGAAATCCGTCAAAACCGGCGGTTTCGCAGCGTTTTTAAGACCGAGTGTCGCGACACCATATAAAACGCATGGCTTCGCAACA